AATCGAATGCACTCGGGGGTTCTGCAGGATGTTTCGTCCAAGGCAAGCGATAATCACGATATGAAAAGACAAGGTCATCCCCGGGTCCAGATTGTGCTGTCATGACGGTGGAACCATAGGGGCTAAACTCTCTACTTTTAGGAGTCGACTCATATCCCATTATGATATTTCCATCGTCCAAGCTGCAAGTTTCCATGCGAGAACACGTAGACCGCATTCTGGGGATTGTCATATTCTTGGTTCAGAGTGGCTTTCATCGTCTCAGTATTAATAGTCACACATATGCCTTCTATTTGATCCACCCAAGATATGATTTCCGAGTTCCCATTATCGAGAATGCCAATCTGGGGAATATTGCCCTCAACTTCCCTTGCCTGCGCATCAAGTTGGGAAGAAAGGGAGAGACCATTGTCAAGTTGAAAATCGCGATTATTTTGACCCTTTTTCATTCATTTGATAGCTTGAGCTTCCCAGATGTCGTCTGATGCCACAGCACCATAGCAACGATGACCAACGACACAGGCTGGATAGGTCAAACCCGCAATGCTCATTCCACGCTACCATCTGTCGAGACCCGGAAAATGGAACAATCATATCTGGAAGAGATCAAGTATAACCATACGCAAGCTTGTCGACAGAGTTACTATGGAAATAACCGTTAGGGATGCTTCGATCCCATCCAAACTCTGTGGCGGGATTAAAGTGCTGAACGTCCGGAATAGGAATCTCGTTATCATGCGCGAGCGGACTCTAACGAAGGAGTACTTCGCTAGTCTTAGTGTCTAGTTCGTAGAATAAGCAATCCGCCGCCGAGCCATCTTCAGGGCTTCTAACAATGCTTACATTGTATCGAGTGACATCATATATCGTGATCAGAATGGTATTATCAGCCGTGATTCGAGACTCGTGGATGATAACATATGATATAAGTTGAGTTGAATTGAGATCTAACATGGAATAATCTTATCTTCTCCTGCAATCAATGGAATGTTGTAGATACTCGTGTAGGAGTCATCGAGGATCTGGATGATGTCGAGACCCCAGTTGTAAGGTTCTGGAAGGGAAATCCTGTTTGAGAACGTCAAGACTGCCTCCCCTTCAAAGGTTTGGTCCTGAATTCGCTGTGATCTCCGATAGTGCTCTACCAGACGAGCTCATTGTCGCCAGACATGATGAACAAGTTGCAGGTATGAGCCTATTCGCCATTCTGATCAAAGGGAAAAAAATTTAAAGGAAGTTGGACCATACTCAGTTACATTGAAAGTTGGACTATATTTTACAGTGCAAGTAACTATCTAAGTTGATATGCCTTGTCATCGAGGTGGGCAAGCCGATTTCCGTCCCCCTAAGTAGATTCGTTTCCCTTCAATATCCTTGGTCAATCGATCGATTTAAGAAATACTGGAATATCGCTGCTGGAAATATCAGGATACCTCTCGAGGACTTGTGGATGATTATCATTTCTTGCATTTGCTAAGTATGGCTATGGTTGGGGTCTAGTCAAGATTTGCGATGAGGAGACTTTCAATAAATACGATCAAATTTGCGCGACTCAATATTTAACCCGCAGATCTGATAAGATTGATCAAGATCAGTAGCCAATAACATCACTCTTCGACCTGCAGACGCAGCGCAGCCAATCATGTCAGGGTAGCATAGCTCCATATGTTATCATTCGCAATTTTGCATTCGCGACGAAGGGTTTTCCTGGATTGGACGGTCAATAGTGAGCGGTAGCTTGCCATTGATAAATAGGGTCTTCAAATGGAACAATTGCCATGTAAGTTGCACAATTTAGATAATTGAAAGGATGGGGTATCTAGGATGTGAGCGCAAACGTTTTCACAATAGCCCGTTAGGTACCAGTGTGATTGTTAACATGATGTGCCACTCGACAAGGATATGATATGTTACACAGGTAGGTCTTGGTCTTATGGTGGAGCATCGTGAATTTCGAACGACTTTAATCACGCGCAAAGATCTTTCAGAGGACACACTTTGGGATGAATTACTATTGGATTGGGAAAATCAATGCGCAACTGGTTCAGAATCCATCGTGAAATCCTATTTCACTACTTAATGTCCTGCCTATCATGATACCCGCCCCCTTCGCATACTTCTCCCAGATCCTAGATGGATGCGCAGAGAACCGAGTAGAAGTGATGTCATACGAAGTCTTAGGCATGTAAAGTAAAGGAGAGCAAATGAATAAGCAAGCGCAGAGGTACCACCGAGAAATGCCACCTAGAGTAGATGCTTAGGCCTCGCCCTCAGCCAAGTGGTCATCGTCATCGTCGCCACCCTCCTTCTTAGCCAGAGCCTTGGTGTTCATTCGCTTGCGCGGCTTCTTCATGGGAGTCTCACCGTCGGCGGTGTCGGTCTTGCGCTTTCGGCCACCCTTGCGGCTGGGAGTAGTGGCATCAGAACCGGCCTCAGCGATAGCGGCGAGTTTCTTCTGAATGGGTCGCCACTGTATCGACGAGTCAGTAATCATTCCCTTAGAGGAGATGCTGCACATTCAAAGCAAACCGAAAGGCGAAAGGGAAAATAGAATGTCACTTACGATGTGTCGCGCCGAGTCAGCGCTGGCATAGCCGCCGCGCTCGGCAAGCTTGGCGCCATCGACCTAAGTGAAAGTCAGCAAGTCGTGCAAAAATGAAACTCGAGTAGCTGTTTCGAAGCCCGTGCATAGTATAGGGTGTCTTGTTAATGAGTGGTGGAAGCGGTATGGCGTGATTCCGTGTGGATTCACGGTCAAGTTGCGTCCCTGGGGTCGGGAACAGGAGTGGAATGGGCGATGGCTTGATATAGAAGAGGGAATGAACTTACCACGGGCACACCGTTCTTGATTTCACTGATACAAGTCCATGCTTTGGCAATGACTTCGAGCTCACGTGCGTTGAACACAGGCTTGTCGCCGTTGGTCTCGGATTTGGTCGCAGGGGATGCCATCGTGAACGATTTGTTGAGTGCTGTGACGGGGAAAGAGGATCAAGTAGATATGATAAGCAGGTGCTAGGTAGAAGTGCAGATGTCCGAGATTCCAGGGAAATATTATCAACGGTGAGCTTCTGGAAAAATAAATAGAGGACAGGTCAGTAGCTCCGCAAGTGGACTGGTCGCTGTTGCTCCGAGGAATAAGTTCCGTTCACACGTTAAAATATGCGTAGCCTAGTCGTATAAGCACCCCTTCTATCACGTGGCACTGTATTAGAATTGTTGCTTAATCCAAATCAAGTGTGACAGGTAGGGCACGAAGCCTACATGTACATACCTAACATTCCTAGGTGCATAATATCATGTACTAGACCGTACCTTGTAGTTCGTTAAGTGTGCCACTGGTATCCACCGTACCTATACACAGCTTTCGTCGATAGTGACTTCCTGGCCCACTACACATATACCTGTGCTTTACCTGGTGTCTCCTCCTGTAATTTTCGGTATGCGTTGGCTTCCTACCGAGTACCGACCAATATTACTACTTTCTTCTTCAAACCGAAGACCACTTTGCAGACCAGACACAACTTCTACTGGATTCAAATATCTTCAAATGACCCAATGACTAGATCTGCAAAGGACTCACAGCTTGCCCATTTGGGCTCGCATGGATTTCCCCCAATATAATGATCAATCTATGAGGGTTCTGAGATTGTCTTCTAACGGGTGTGCTGCCTGGCAGTATGTTTCCCTGAATCGCTTGGTTGGTTTTAGCAAGGCAAATATGCCATCAGTTTGAATCATGATGCAATATGATTTTATTTCTAAATCACATATCTTACGTGCAACCTTAACACTGATCTGTAACATTAAAGCACTGTAGTATTATTAAGAAAATTCCAGATTTTAAAATTATCCAATGTGAATAGATTTTATTTCCATACAAAATACAGGGCATTTTTGTTTAATTTGCCACAGGATATCTCTCGGTACCCAGTATGCACTGACGATCTGGAAGAAATAACCTCAGGAAGGCATTTTGACAGCAGAAATTGTAACATCTCTTGGCTCTCGAACAGAAGCCGAGAAGGTAAGCTTAGTTGTCCAAGAGACCATCTTAAACGTTTAAGTGCAAACCTTAATGTCACATACATATATCTTGTGCTGTCTGTCTAAATTGTAGATTATTTCTTGTTATTGATGAATAACGATCTACTAGATTCTCCTCATTAGGTGGCTTGACCCGAGATATGAGACGCTACCGTTAGGCACTAGGAAACTTTCTGCGCTCTGGTTGAATTTGACTTCAACTGGGCTAACCTTGATAGCAATTTCTGTAAGCATTCTTTTCGTATGTAGAGGTCTATGACAAAAATACTCAAAATGACCAGCGTGAATACACGTTCTGAGGTACACGTGATCGGAACTCGTTGTCTTTAGTCAAAAGATTTGCTCTATAATGCGTCACACATGCCATATCGTCGTGATCCATTGCGCAAGCATCTTGATATATCAATCTTTTATTCATACTTCTCTACTCGGGATTAGTTTAGTCACCGTATGATAAAAAATACCATGATCTCTTATGCTTATGCATTTTTAATTTCATATGTGAACGATTGCCTGACCTGGCTATAGGCCAATTATGTACTGCAAAAAGCGAATATTTGCCTAGGTTACGGTATGGAAAGCTAGCAAATGTAAGAGATGCCAGGCCCGGGTGCATTTCTAAGTCACTGATGGATGTTAAGTCTATGTCCGACCATTCTCTTCCATGGGTAAAAAGGGCGAAGACCTGGCAGCTATGGAAATCCTACCCAGTTACCACCGTATTTCTCCATAAACCTCAACTTAGGTACTCTTTAGGCGGCCATTCCTTGCAGCTACAATATATCTACTAGGTATCTATGTTCCATTCATGGTTTGAGAATCTCTTACCTTTAGGGGGCCCGCAACTAGAGTAGAACGCGCTTCAGCTTCACCAGCCACCTTAGTTAGGTTTCTTTATTAAACGAACGTAAGATCTTTTCCTCCATCAACATTAACTTCTGGGACCGAAGGAGTCCGAATTGGTGTAGTGGCTAACATTTGGTGCTCTCATATAGATATCATTCAAACAGTTGTCTAAGTGATCCACCAAGCCCGGGGTTCGATTCCCCGATTCGGAGTTATTTTTTTCTCTACCGTCTATTAGAGGCTCTTATCTTGAAATGAGAATCTATCGGTGACCTATGCAGCCGGCCCAGCGTACACAAATTCCCTCCTTCTGTCTGTGATAGCGCCTTGTTGCTATGCGCCACCCTTATGCCCTATTGGTTGTTCTACAGTAGAACACACCTAAGCTTCCCAGGCATACAAAGACAACCCTTTTTTCATGGTGAAAGTAGGTATACTACTTGTCATTTCTAAAGAAACTCCATACGATCATGGGTAGCTGCCGCACTCAGTTGACCTCGACACGGTCTACTTAGTCTGTAAAAGGAGACCCATAATCATAGCAGGCTCAATGGTCTAGTGGTAAGATTCGCGCTTCGGGACTACCATCCTAAATGCGCGAGACCCCGGGTTCGAATCCCGGTTGAGCCCTTGTTTTTGGAAAATATCCATTCCGATAATTCCTTTTGCTTCTACTTGACATGTCGCATTTGTTGCTAGGACCTTAGTGGTTAGGTAATATTATCATCTTCTCGTATACATAGGTACATCTACTCTTAGGATACTGTGCAGTAGCAATTGGGAGAACGAGTGTATGAGTTTGACTATGCGATCCAGTGCTTTGGTGGGAAAACAGAAAATTCTTCGCTAGGAGATAGTTTGGATATCCACTTTCACCACCAAGAAAATTGTCACGATGGCTAGATATGTGGGTCTGAAAAACCTCAATCTATCTCGAGGGTAGCTAAGTCGAAAACGGGAATGATCGACGCAAATCAGTCAAGTGAAGCTGAACGATCTAGGTACCCAGTGCAGCCGCTTTTCTAGGAGAGGCATCCCACCTGGATAGAAATAGTATCGCGGCCTTTCCGTCCGTGGTTTTCGAAGAAGAGATTCGCGTATCTACCTTTATCAGATGTAGGTAGATAGGAGTACATGCCCTGTTATCATCGAAGCGACTGTCCCGCTCTGCTTCTCAGCTTTGTTTCCGTTTCTTGCCATGCCTATAAGACAGTTACTTTTTCATTCCACCTGGCCCATGCTTCTCCCCTGGTAAGCTACATCCTATTACGCCGGCCATCGATCGTACTCATCGATACCAGCTCCTCTCCCCTCTCGGGGCTTGCAATGGCTCGCCGCGCGCATTCCTCTGGCGGCAAGACCTGGTCTTCTTCCCCCAAAGACTTTGTTAAGCCAATCTTAAGCTTATTCTCGGCTTCCAGCGACTGGGGTGGCATCGTGGCGGGAAACACGGTGTGTACGCGCACGCGGGGCAGAGGCTCATCTCCTGCGGGGGTTCGGAGAGCGCTCGGATTGCTGCTTTCGTTGGGCTATAGGGCGTGAAGCAGCTGTAGAAGGACACAAAAGATCCTGAGTAAATCAGGGCTTACGCCGGCGGCCGTGTACGCTTCGCGCTATTTGATGGAGCTCTGGAACCGATCCATAGGTGTGAATGAATTAGGTGATGATGTTTGCGTCGAAAAGTCGTCCATTAACGAGAAGTTCATTCTTCGAAAGCTGCGACCTCATTTCTGTCAAGGTAGACGCTTCCTTCACAGCCCTGAGCCCTGGGGACGTACAGACGCATGCGAGCGGACTGAGCGTGTCTGAGTGTACCACCACACCGGAGGACGCATTTGGTTGCTGATATCTTTCGACAGATTCAATTTTGCTGTTTAGACGTGTACGCTGCCAGTCCACCATATCCAGCAGTCCTTGCACAGCAGCAAAGGCTTACAGCTTCCTACAGTGACACGTCTCCCACAGAAGCACCCCTCAATGCGCTCTCTCTCTCTCTCTCTTACTCGTTTTCATGAGGTAGGCTTACAGAAACAAATGATCCTAAATCATTCATCATTACCTCCGCTCAAATCTAACCTGGGGGAAATGCGGATGATACGATGGGCGTGAATGCCTTCGTTGTTGTGCTCGCCGTCGTATCTGTTGCACTAAGGTTTTACACACGCATTTTTACGCGCGCGGGTCTGGGAGTGGATGACTGGTTGATTCTCTTAGCTGTTGTAGCGACATTGTTTACCGCAGTCTTACTTCTATGGGGTACGCTTAGTCCACTGACTCCGTCAGTCTACGTTCGTATCTCAGGGGTGGATTAGAAGTCGCTGATTTTACAGGTAATGCTGTTTCCCTGGATGGGCTCTGGGTCTCCGACAGCGCTGATCCAAGTTACGTCTCCATACCGATATCCTATCTGATGCTTGTTTTCGCCATTTCGGCCCTCTACTTCACAATGGCAGGAACTATTGAACTTAGTACCTCATTCGAGTATGACGGGATCTTCGCCATTAGTCCGATATTCAGTTACTTGGTGTTAGGCTGTCATGACAACAAATCATTTGTTCCTATGCTGGTTATATCTAGTACCTTTATGACTAGGGAGCTGAATATCCCTCTACCTGGATAAGGCAGTCCGATACGTCCATGATGCGTAATTATCCATCTTCCGTGCAGATTACTATGGAGTTGGAACGAGTAGCCGATGGAAGAAAGCATCAGCTAATTCAGAACTGGGTTTCTCATCCCGTGATATCACACCGCATGTGGGGGGAAGCATCGGTACGACGCTGTGTGCGGGGGCCGATATTGGCATTTGATGCAAAGGAAGGAAGGCATCTGTCTGTGGTTCGTCTCTTGTGTCACCAGTTCATTAGCCTCGAAAATGGAACATAAACACAAGCAGGTAGTAGACCATCTTGAAGCTATCACAGCCGCCGACTTCGAGGGCCATGAGAGTGAGCAATTGCATCTCATAGCTAGCGCGCGTAAGCTTATCAGCCGGCTGGAAACGGACGAGGAGAAGTTTTGTGGCATTTCCTTCTCAGAGCCAATTATTTATGCGGCGTTGAAGACGTGTATTGACGCAGGTATTTTGCGCGGATGGGCTGCAGCCGGCGGAGGTGAAAAGTCACTTGAAGATATTGCTGGGTTGGCTGCAAATAACTGCGACTTAAATCTACTTCGTACGCATACCACGGTGCTCTCAAACCTGCCATCGTGGAGTTAACGGTCAAAAGGACGCTTATTTCGCCTCATAGCATCGACGAATATCATCGAGGAAACGGGCGAGGACCGATATAAACCTACCAGCTTCTCACTATCGATTGGCGATGACTCTACGAAAATAGCGCAAGCTCTCATAGCCAGGTAAGATTTCCGCTGGAGCACGCCGACTCTGCCGAAATGCTAAATATTTCCATGAAGAGCCCATCACTGGGAAACGTGCAGTCAACATTTACCATCGTTTTTGGCCAAGACTTCGTATCGAGAACCCCTAGACTCGAATCATACCAACTATCACGAGTCGTTTCCGGAGGGACTGTCTTTCTTCGACAGAGGCCTATCAAACCCTATTTACCAAGAGAGTTGGAGTGGTTTCATGACCGCATGGGCGAGATATAAGATACCATGGCCGCAGTTCTATGATACGGCGTCTCTAATCGAAGGGGCAGATCTCTCTGACGGTAAACCGTTGGTCGTCGACATTGGCGGTCATCACGGCGTAGACATCCTTACGCTTACGAGGAAACATCCGAATCTGCCAGCCGGATCTCTCATTCTCCAGGACCTCCCAGGCATTGTGGCAGGTCTAGACCTTGGTACAGACAAGATCAAGATCATGGGCCATGATTTCTTTGAGCCTCAACCCATCCATGGTATGCCCTATCATGTTTCAATAAATACGAGGCGTTTCTGTTAGATTGATGACTGCTAACAGATGCCGTATGCAATAGGGAGTCGTGCGTATTTCTTTCATGCGGTATTCCATGACTGGTCCGACGAGGTCGCGATTAAGATCTTGAGGAATGTTGTCCCAGCAATGAAGAAGGGATATTCGAAGCTCCTCATTTGCGATATTGTGATCCCTCCTACAGGTGCGAGCATCACTCAGGCAATGATGGATGTGAACATGATGGCGTTGTTGTCGGCTCACGAAAGGACAGAAGCCATGTGGAGGAGATTGATAAACGAAGCTGGATTCGACAAGATTAAAATATGGAAGGACCCACGGGACTTTGAAGCCGTGATCGAGGCAGAACTAGCATGATTTTTGATGAAAACGCTCATAGCACTTAGTACCTACGTAGTTCCAGAAACATGGAATGCAAGCCCAACCATCTGCTTTAATCGCGTTTGTGAGTATCTAAATGAGCCATGCTATCTGCAGAGAATGATGTTCGTCATGTTTTGTGACAGCTGGCAACCCGTCTGCCAGGCTGTTGTATCACAGGATCATCTGCCAGCCTAACAGCCGTGTCAACCTAGATGCCCAGACAGGTGATTGCTCTCAACTTTCAGAACGGAAAGCGAAGAAGATTGGCGATGAAAGGGTTCGAATAGTAGTGATGAAAGTAAAACATGACGAAGGCGGAATATGACGAAGAGGTGAATAAAACACGGGGGGAAACTTGCGCTTGAGGGGTAAGACCCCCTAGCTTAGCTAAGCCTTAGGTTAGCACCTACAGTCGCTACAGTCGCTTAGGTACCTAAGGTTAGGTTCAGCTTGATCTGTGACTGTGACACACCCAGACCACCCAGACTCATACAAAATCGCTTGCCGCAATCGTCAACCACCTGCTCATCCAAAACATGCTTCTTGACTCCGATATCCAATAGACAGCAAACTTCTCGTATATATTCACCCTTCCAAAAGTTTATATAAAGTAAGGCAAGATGGAGTATCCAGATGTTCCCGAGCGCTCATCCCCATCACCTCCGGCTTCTCCCACCATTCCGGATCGGCCAGCGTCGCCCGAATTACCACTCACTATGTCTGCATCCGCCGTTCTCACAGCCCTGCCTCATGACGCAACTTCAGCTTTGGCCAGTGCGGGCGAGTTCGAACAGGAGAAGATCCTCGTCCGCTTCAAGGCTGTCGGGTCCGCTCCGCAGCTGAAGCGCGAAGTGCGGCGCATAAGCGCGACCCAGAAATTCGAGGCCGTCGTATCTCACCTGCGCAAAGCCCTGCGCCTCAATCCGACCGATGGTCTATTTCTCT